CTATTATATTGTTGTAATTATTTTGATTATTTAGTTTCATTAATTCCTTAAGGTTCGTGTTTTAATAATTCTTCAAAGGCTTCAATTTTTACTAAGTAATTTCTGTTAATTTTTTCTTCTTGCTATTCTTTAAATTCTTCTATTCATTCTTGCCAAAATGGTGAGCTAATGTTTTTTGCTCCAAAAATCTTTTGATTTTCTCATTTCTTTTCTTCAAGCTCTTGTAATATATGTTTATATTTTTTAAAAATCTTTTGGTAAAAAGAGGTTATAGTTTCTTAATTTGGGTTTTCTTTTTATAGTTTATAAACTTCTTGGTAATATCTATTAAGGATTTCTGTAGATAATTCTTTTAATGGATTTTCTTTAATTTCTTCAATAGGTATTGTTATAGGATTATATCCTAGTTTTTTAGCTTTCTTTCATAAGTTTCAGATTTTTAACTAGTTAATAGTATTATTTTTGTAGCTTTTTTTTTTCCAAATATCTTGTAATGAAAGATATAAGATTTCTAATTTGTATTTTTTTTTTATTTCAATTATAGTTTTTTCTTCTAGAATTAGCATTAAATGCTTTTTCTTCTTTGTTTTGAAGGTGTTCTTTTATTTTCTGATATTTCTTCAAGATACTTAAGTTCTTCTTCTCCGTCTAAGACTTTTGAGCTCATTCTTCATATAATATATATTCTGCTACAAATATAATATTATACAATACTAATTTCAAAGGTATTAGAATATTGTAACTTAAATTAATATCATGTATTTGTTTAAATTGCATTGCTATTACTGTTAAAATAGTTTCATATTTTTGTACTTCTGTGGTAGTTTTAGGTTGGTACGAGTCAAATCCTGTAAGGTTATTACTATTTGTAAAGTTTTTAATGCTAATTCTAATCTTAAATTATTTGTAGAATTACACCTTGCTATTAAATTTGCAAGTGTTACTACAATAACTGAGTGAATTTCTTCTACCGGCCTTTGAAATATTATTTCTTTTATAGATCTATTTCTTTAAGATAAGTATTCTTTGGTTCTGGGTAATAGTTCAAAGTATTTAAATAGCCAAAATTGAGAGTTTTTTGATACTGATCTATTTATTTGTTCAGAGTATGTATTCCAAATTCTTGAATCTTCACTTGATATTTCTGATTCATTAGCGTAATAATCATCTGTTAAGGTTTCAATTGTAGGTTTCTTTTGATAATAAATAATTATTTTGTATTTAATATAATAAATTTCTTTTAAATATATTAATTTTTGGTTATTAGCTCCATTTTTTAAGGTCATACTAAGTCTCTTAGTTTTCTTATTGTGGTACTAATATATTTAAGGTTTCATTTAATTTTTTAACTTCTAATAATAAGTTATCAATTTCTAATGAAAAGAGTAATATGTAATCTATTGCAAGATCTAATATTTGAAATAATGCTTGTATTTTCATGTTTAATGATGTTCTTTGTACTGCTCATAAGTTTAAAGATATTGATTTAAATAAATATAGAATTCAATATTTCTTCAAATATTCTTGAGTGCTTCAATTGCTGTATTTCTTCTTGATATTATTATATTTTTAATTGCAGGATGTTTTTCTAGATGATATTAACTACTCGTGGTGGGTATATTATTCATAAGTTTTCTATTTCAGTTGTTGTAACTTTTCCAGTAGTTACAGCTTTTTGAATTTTAGTTGGTTGCTGTCTAAGTTTGCAATAAATTGAGTAAGGGTTGTATCTATTAATTTTTTCTTGTTGTTAATATTGTTATTTCTTTTAGTTATATTATAGTATTTGCAACAGTTACTAATATTGCTATTGATATAATCATAAGTTGAATTGTTTGATTAAGTTGTTCAAATAGTTGCTCAGATATTGCTAATGTAATATAGATATTGCTTATCCAAGTTATTGTTATATTGAATACTAATATTGTTCGATCAGTAGTTACAATCTTAATAATTTTCTTCTTGTATGTTTTTACGATTGTTTGTTTCTTTATTTCTCTTGTTTGGTCCTTTTTAGATTGTGGCAAATATACACAATCTATATCTTTCCTTTAACAATATAAACAGGTGTTTTCTTGATATTTTAAACAGCATACTTTTTTTAATTGACAATTTGTACAGGCTATAGTTGCTTTTTTAGTATTTTTCATTTATTTATAATTATAAAATATGGAATTGTTTATTTTGTTTTTTGGAAATTTTGTCTGTATTTATATAATTTTTCTTTCTATGTATTGTTATAGTCAGAATAACTGCAACTCAGTTGCTCCACAATCCAAAAACTTACGTAACCTGCAGTAAGTAATTTTACAAAAGAGGTGTATTAGATTTGGCTAGTAGGTGATTAAGGCTTCAGTTACTTGAGATCAATGAAAGCAGGTTAGTTAAGTCACGTAATAAAGGGTTCAGCAACAATGATGTTTATAATGGTTATATAGGGTTTATCAGGGTATAGTGTTAGTGTATTATTTATTGGGCGATTGTATAATAATTAAAACTTATTATTTAATAAAGCAACGAGTGAATACTGCTCTTGAGGGCCAATTCAGCCTTTATTTATATTGATTATTTTCATCGCTTACAAATGCGACTTTACATTTAATATTCTATAAAACTATTTAAAACTGTTTTCAATTATTTCTCTAATATTTTTAAGAATGTTTAATTTCTACTAATATTCTCCCTTTATCCTCCTATATACCTCTTTAGATCTAATATGCCATTCCCGATCCAAAATATAATTAATTGCACTTCGTGCATTTTTCACGTGACCGATTACCAGGTCCTCGTGTTATATTCTGGAACTCACAATATCTAATAGTATATTGTTATTCTAAGTTATTATTTAATCTGATCCTTCAGAATTTCTTTTTGAAAATTTTTAGATTCTATGAAAATTTTTGTTATAAGGTAGTAGAGTATCTGACTCTGTTTTAGTTAGTGCATATTGATTCAATGTTTGGGCCTTTTTTCAGGCTTTTATAAATTTGGGGTGGTCGAATTAAAGGTTATGAAATGCTTAGTGTCGTGAAGTAGTTGCTTGTCTTTTTTGTAAGTTATAGTGATTGTAATTTAATATTTGTTCTACTAATTGGTTTTCTTCAAGTGCTTCTACTTTTCTTTTTAAGTTTCGAACTTGTTGCTTTAATTTTTATTTTCTTCTCTTAATGCGGCTATATCTAATAAGTTTCCTTCACTTAAAGAAAAGAATATTTTTCACATAAGTGTTTCCAATTGATTTAACTATTTTTTAATACTTTCATTTTGGTTTTGAGATTCTTGATCATTTAAAGTTTTATTATTTGTTATTTCTTCGTCTTTATCAAACAATAATTCTTTTTTTTTAGGTGTGTTACTTGTTGCTTACTTATTGTTATATGCGGAGTTTGTTATATTAATCAAATCTTTCATTTCTTTTTTTTTTTTTTGTTGTAGTTTCATTAATATATTATATGTGTTTAATGATTTGAAGTCATGAGGATAAAATTCTGATTTTTCAAGTTCTAAATTTTGATCTTTTTGAAGAGTTTTAGTTATAATAATAGGGTTATTTTGGGTTCCAATTAGTAATATTTTGTCTTCTATAGAGTCTTTTGTTTTTAATAGTTTTTTTGAAATTTCTTTGCATTCTTCACATTGTTCATAATAGATATATTTAGTAATTGTATTATTTCTTCTTCAATTATTTCATATACTGCCCACCAACTATTTTGGTTCTTTCTTAATATTTCATTTTCTTGAGTAGAATATGCTTTTTCAGGTTTTTCATTATGGCCTTTTTGCATCATACTATTATAATACCAAATATTTCATTTTTCTACTATATCTGTTTCTTGATTATATTTCTATTTCCATAATTTATAATCTATATTATTTTGCTATTTTTCTAGTTTTATTTTAGCTTCTTTTTTTTGTATATCTGTTAGTTTTTCTTGCATTTCTTTAAAGCATTCTGGACATGTTCCTCCTAATAGGTCTTTAGGTAGATAGATATAATAACATTCTGAATATAATTGAGTTAGTTCTCTTTTTTCTGTTATCATCATAGCATTTGTTCTAGTTACATCTATAGAGTAATCTCTTTTCTTTTGTCCTCCTTGTTGAAATGAAGCTTTAAGAACTTGACTTAATAATGTTTCCATTACTTCATACATGCTTTTATCTTCTAAATAAAGAGTTTTCTCTTTATAATATTCTTCTATAGCATCATAGTTTTGGTAATTGTATCTATCAGTAATGGAGTTAAATTTTATTTGTCATATTATTTCTTGATTTTTGGAAGTGGCCCATTCTTCTTGAGAGTGATTTTTTAAGAATTCATAGAGTCTTAGTATTTTTGACTCATTAATAGCTTTATTGTTATATACATTTCTGGTATATTCTTGAATTCTTCTTGTTAATACTGCTTTTGTAAAAAATCTATGATAATAAAACATTTCAAATACTACTTTTTTTTCTTTATTACAAAAATAATTATTAGTATAGTTATTTGTCATATGTCTTTTCCAGTTTTTTTTTGAACAAATAGTGTATTTTCTAAAGTTAGTTTTTTCTAATTTAGTTTCTTTATATTGTATTGCCTGTATATTATCTGTTGTTAAATGTTCCATATATTCTTGGTAGCATCATTTACAAACAATATAGTTTTTTAATTATTGAGTATGATAATCTAATGGATTAATATATATCCTTTCTAGTAACAAGAATATATCCTTAGTAATAATGCTATAACAGCTTTCATTGCAATAATGATAAATATTTTTTTTAGTCTTCCTAACTTTTTCTTTAATGCATCTACATTTTAAGGTTTCATTTTCTTCAAGAAGTTTAGTCATTAGTTAATCTGGATTAATAAATTCTCCTTATTCATTATATACTATATTTTCTAAAGTTTTTTTTAGAGTTTTTAATTGTGTTTCTTGTTGAATATCTTTCGAGCTTCCTTTTTTTGGGTCATAAATTTCTTTTTCTATAACTTGTTTCTTTTGAAATTCTTTATTTTCTTTATTAATCATTTTTAGATTTCTATTAATTAAAATAGTATTATTAGTGCAGTCATGTGCTTGGTGTTCTAGTGTTTATATTTCAAACATTCATTTTGAGGATCTTTTTTATTAAAGTGGCCTTGTTGGTTACAAATTCTTCAAGTAAAGCAAGATTTATTTTTCTTATATTCTTTTTCATCAAAGGAGTTTTCTTTAAGAATTAGTTTTCTCAATTGACTCAATAGAAATCTTTTTTGGCAATTATGGTTTTTGTTGGTTAAGGCTCTATATTTTTGACATCTATTATGATTATTTTCTTGAAAATAGACTTTTTTTTCTTTAGGTTCTTGGAATTTAGAGTATTCATAATCTTTTTTGACTAAAATTTTGCATTCAAGACAGAATAATTAAAGGTTTTGCTCCTATTCTTGATTCTTAGTTTCTTTGACATTGATGCAAAAGTTTTTTTTTCTTTTCCTTTATTATTTTTATGGGATTGTTGTTCAATGTTAAGAATTCTTTTAGTAACAAATTTTTGGTTTTCTTGTCTTTGCCATTTATTGATTTTTTGATTTTTCTTTAATTTCTATTCTTCAAATTTAATTAATTTAGTTTGGTTAAGATGACTTTCTTTCAAATGGTTTAGCTATTTGTTTTGGAGTCTAGTAAGTTGGCAAATTTCACAAGTCTTAGATTTCATTTTAGATTTCAGGATTTCTTGTTAAAAGTTTGTTTTCAGGGTTTTTTAAAATTTATTCATTATGTTTTGGATGTTCTTTTAATCATTTAAATAAAGTTTCTTTTATAGAAGTTTCTTATCTTGGATTGTCATTAATCAATAATAAATTTTTATTCTGCATCTTCACTATTACTCCTATGACCTAGTAGTTGTAAATCATTTATATAATCTGTATCATGTAAACATTCTAGAAGCACATCCCAGATGTTTTTGTCTTTATTCTGTCTTCTCCAAATTAACTCATTTAAGCATGGTTGTAGATTTTTCATATCTCTATTTCTAGATAATATGGTATTTTTGAACACGTGCCAGTGTGCTTCTATACCATTTGTGTGAATAACTTTAATTAATTCTGTTTTAGAATGTTACTATAGTTAATAGCATGATGTTTCATTTCAAGTTTTCTGTAAATATTTTGATATTCTTTCCACATGTTTGAGTATATAATCGATTCTGGGTGCATATATTTCTAAATATAGTATATCAAGATATCTTGTGTTCTGTCTTTATAATTATTCTAATTAATTTCTTTTCTAAAGTTTTTTCTACTCCGCTGAATACCCATATAGCTGTTTCATCCTTCTTTTTGTAAAATTATGACTTATCTATTTCTTCAATAATTTCAGGTTCTTCGATTTTGTCATCTGTTTCCAAAATTTGACAATTAATAGATTGTCTTATTATTTAAATCCATCATGTGATTATTGTCTTTGCTAATCCTATAAATAAACATATTGTTCCATGTTTTGTCTTTATAAGCCATAAATAGGTAATTTTCAGTATTTTATTGCTTCCAAGTTTCAAATTCATAAAAATTATTTTATTTATTAAAGATATTTTCTTTTGACAACTCCATTTAGTATATGTATTAGAATTCCTTATTTGAGTATAACTTCATCAGTTTTAAATACTATAAACAGTTAATTTTTTTTGGAAGTATCAATTTTTCTTGTAGAAATTCTATATATAGTTCTTTAATTCTTGATATGTAGGTACTATCATTCTTAATTTATCCATTTCTATTTCTTTCTTGAGGCTTGTTAAGTATATGTCTTCTTAGGTAGTCTTTTATACATTCTTCTTATCTTTGTATATCTCTTCTTATCTTTTACTCCTATTTTCAATGTGACTGTTTGTGTTCCATCCTTATCAATTCCCATATGTCTTGATAAGTAATTGGCTACACTATTATCCTTTCCTTTAATTCGTTCAACAGTCTAATTAAAGTCTTGTAATTTAATTAACTATTTTTGCATAGTATCATTTCTAACCATTTTTTCTGAGGCATCTGATATTCCTGTATATCAGTTCATACTATTATTAGTTTATTTTCAATATAATGTTGCCAATTCGTTAAATAATAACATATTGCAAATAATTCTTTCTAAGTTGATCCCCATAATCTCTGCGTTGGTAATAAGGATTTTGATCCAAATTCTTTAATCTCTTCTTCTGATTTTGCAGGTTTAGTTTCTTTACCTTTTTTTCTAGCATCTTTAATTTTATAATATGCTAGTTCTAGATTTATTTGTTTCAACACTGCTCCCATTTCATTGTCAGAAGTGTCAGTTTCTAATATAAGTTAGTATCCTTTCTTTGGGTATGTCAATGCTATCACATTTTTTACTTTTTCCTAAAATATTTTAAA